CTGACCAATACCTCTCTTAATATCATCGGCTCACACTCCTTAGTGCAATAGATCTTAGCGAAACACTTGTGGGACCAATGCTAAAGTTAACACTCCATAAACCCAAATTACAAGGAAAACGAAGTCCACTGACCCATACGTTAGATAAATTCAAAGCTCGGAAGTGCATTTTTTGTACTGTCTTCCCTAGCCAGATTTGTATGGGTCTGCATGAAATATATCCATACGCGCTGTTGACCAAGCGTGTGGTCAGGATGGCTTGATATTGGCTGAGTTCTTTTATTTGCGTTTTTATGGACCGAGACGACTTGGAGGTCCATAAAATCGCAGAAGAGAAAGTGGCTTATATCTGGCCATCCTGGCAGAATAAGTTTACTACTGATGACTTTAACACCAATAATAACATCAGCAACATCCGTGTTAGTTCATCGTCAATTGAAATCAACGTTTTTCAAAAAAATCCGAGTGATTACGAAACAATCGAGTACGTATTCTCTTTACGTGCATGTCATTCTCATAGTGTCGATTCAGTAGAAGAAAAGTCCGTTTCAAGAGTAAGATCATGCTGTTTTATCTAATGTCTGAACGTTTCTCGTCTGCGTCGAGAAAACCCTATTTCCCTTTTTTTTTAAACATTTGATTAAATCAATTAGTATACCGTAAATCAGTTACTACACCTGTTAATTAAATGTAACTCCCTGAGTATACAATTTGATGCAGACCCGCCATGCAATATCTTATTCGCTTGTTGGGTTTGTTGCATGCATTACATTTCATTTCAAAATCATTTTGGTGATATTCATATCTTCACGAAGATATTCGAGAATTTGAAAGTAATAACTCTCTAAAATGCTGTAAAGAGGTCCGAATTGTGAAACAAAATGTGCGTGCTAACGAGGTCTAGTTAGGTAGTTAGGCAAGGAAAGACGAAAAATATATATATCCGAGCCTGTAAATTGTCCGACCTTCAAGTCAGCGGACTCTCTTGTTCCGAGTTTGTAATTTGGTTTATGACTTGTTAACTCCATCACTGATCACAAAAGTATAGCGTTATCACACTTCCCCAAAATCTATTGTACTTAAGAGTCTGGGCCAGTAATAGATGGAGAAGTATTGGTCGGCGTACTCATTGTTTTACCAGTGCCAGCAAATGAAATGCAGTCATTTGAGGCCAGTTGTTCATCCGCATAGCGGTTTGCAGACAATGCTTCTCGATTTAAGTCTTGCAACTGAAAAAACGCTGATCGATATCAGCGAACCCGCAATGTGATATCAATACTGGTCAGAGGATTTTTTAGTGCAACAGCTGTCACTGTAACAACTCAATTGTAATTGGATGTCCGCAAGAACAACAATGCATGATGAAAATGAAT